AGAAAGAAAGAAAGAAAGAAAGAAAGAAAGAAAGAAAGAAAGAAAGATGTATGATCAGCCTTCTCTCAACAGAATGACATCTCAAAGAATAGTAATTGGCAGAGATAAGATATTGAGCAGGCAATGTATCAAAATAAACTACAATTCAATGGCCGGTTCGAATATTTTGACTTTTGAAAGAAAAGGGAGAAGAGAGAAGATGAAAGATAGACTTTTGCTGTGGCAACCAAGTGCCCCTTAAATCCTACGAAAGCATCGCTATTTCTTGACCATTCTATTTGGTGACCCTAGCAGCCGGTTAGGCCTTGAGAAGGCCTAGTTTCCTTCGCTGAGCTAAGACAAGAGAAATGAGGTGACACATGTAAAGAGAGAGGAAGCTGCATAAAAAGGAAGGCAATAAATTGTAACAGAGCTGAACCCAAAAGGGGAACTGGTGACATAATATGGAATATCTGTGTCTAGAGGGTTCCTGAGAATACTGAAAATCTAATTCAGGTTGCACATGACCTTGGTAACTTTAAGACTTGTGGGCTTCAGGTCCCAGAATTCTTAAAGTCTTTAACTTGCCAAGGTTGGACACCCCCTTCTCTCACTGAAGGTTAAGAGTCTCTCTCAGGGAGATGGAAACATCATCTGACGTACACTGAGGGTTTTATTTATTTATTATTTATTTATTGAATTATATTGCCGTCTATTTGCCCATGGCGACTCGAGGCAGCTTACAGAATGTAAAACCATATTTAAAATAAAAAACAATAAAAACTAAAAAAAGGAATAACATAAATTAATAAAGTACAATAGAACAAAATCTGGAAAGAAAGAAATAAAAAATCCCACCCCCGCCCCGACGATGGCAGATCACACGAGCCATTTGATGGGCTCCATCCCGCACTGGGTTCCCCAGGCCCGCTAGCCAGAACCAGGTCTCCAGTGCCTTCCGGAAAAGTATTAGTGATTTATAATAAGGTTTGAGTGTTATTCTTTGTATATAGTTTCTTCCAGCTGCTTTATCCATTGACATTGATACCAATGACCCTTTTACTTATCTGTTGAGTTCTTAAGCACAAGCAAAATGAAACCCAAGTTTATTTTTCCTAATCAGACAGCAATGCTGTTCTTTATGGCAAAGGCTGTCAACTTATAAAATATTTCTATGGTTGTTTTAGAGTTGCCAACAGAAAGGGAGGAGGGAAAGAAGTTTGAAAGAGCAGTGCGGCAGCTTGGAAAACAAAAGTGGGAAACCAGGGTCAAGGGTGACAGTGAATTATGTGTCTCAGAGTCGGCTACACCTAGGCAGTGCCGACATGTTAACTCCCAAATAAATCCTGTTTAGTTTTGGAAGTTTGGCTCGAGACTCATGATTTAATTGGAGTAACTGCCAGAATCCTGACAAAGGTCATGAAAGTCCAGGTAGTCCTTGACTTAACAACTATCCATTTAGCAAAGTGTTCAAAGTTACAGAGGCGCTGAAAAAAGTGACTTACCACTGGGTTTCACTTTGTCCCTGCAGTCATGTGATCAAAATTCAATCCTTTGGCAATTGGCAGGGATTTATAATGGTTCACATGATTGTTATTTGTGATTGTTCACATTAGCTTCCAATAAGCAAGGTCAATGGAGGAAGCTGGATTCACTTAAAGATTGCACGCCTCATCTAATGACTAGTGATTCACTTAGCAACCATTACAGAAAGGTCATAAAATTTGACATGAGTTGTGGTTGTAGACTACTTGTAGATGCTTGTCACTAGAGTATATGACCAAGCACTGCAATCTTGAAGTTCATATATATGAGGACAACACTCAAAAGAGTTCGCTCCTTATTTCATTCAATTGTCAAACTTCACTTGAGTTTTTAAAATGGTGTTTGAAGGGGTCCTTTTGCAGTTCCCATCTGGAGCAACAAAAACTTCCTGCAAGTGAATCTGGCTGCCTTCGCTGAACATTAAACTGTTGTTTGTTTGTTTTTTGAGATAATTGGTGGCATTTATGTCTTGAGCAATTCTATTTATTAAAACAATAGAAATTATTGCTAGAAGCCTTTACAAGCAAACAAATCTAACCTACTTGAGAAATACTGTTTTGTTTATTCCTTTTCTCCTGTCAATGTATAGGTTCCAAAATGAACACGTGGCCTTAATATGCAAAACTGGAAAAAATACATGGGATCGGTATGACAATTTAGCATCGCACAAGCGCTGATTGTGTAGCATGATGTCCTGTTGCCTGCTTTCAGTGTGATGTTGTTTGCATTGGCTGTGTGGGCTTCAACCCACTCTTACTGAGCAAGAATTAGAAGCATAACTTTTTCTCTTCCTTCCCTTTCATTAGATCCACCCAGAGGGTGTTTCCCTAGCTTTCCAGGTCCTTTACTTACGAGTGCAGAACCAAGGTGTCAAACTCAATGCCCATGGGCCGGATCCAGGCTACAGGGTGCTTAGATCTGGCCTGCAGGGCCATCCTGGAAACAGTGAAGGACCAACCCGTAGTGCTTCTGCCAGTGAAAATGGAGCTTGGGAGGGCCGTGCACAGCCCCCCACCCCACCCCCAAGTTCCGTTTTCACTGGCAGAGGGAAGCAGGAGGCGCCCCTGACACGAGTGACATCAAGCTGGCCACGCCCACCAATGCAGCCTTCAATGAAATCGAGTTTGACATGGGGTCTAACATGGGGGTCCAACATTTTTGGCTTGCCTGGGCTGCACTGAGTGAAGAGGAATTGTCTTGGGCCAGATATAAAATATGTAGTTAATGTATATAAATCACATAATAAAATTAGAAGTTTATGTTCTTGTGGGGCTGCATTAACTAGCAGACCAGGACCGCATTTGGCCCACAGGTCATGTCTACTCTAGAATATTAATTTCATAAAAGAACCATGTCATGTTGCACTTATTATATGATATACAGTATGCCTGTGACATATTTTCGTAAGCAGATCTGATTTATCACATACTGCAAAAGAAAAAGACCAGTTAGGCACATCTCTCCACAGCATGTGGGGAGATGTAGGAACCTGCAAGTATTTTCTAAAATTAACAAATAGCTCAAAATATATTAGATGCTTTGTAAAAGCCAACCCCATTTCTAGAATTAATTGGCCAGCCTCAAATTAATGTAGAAATCCAATATGGTGGTCAAGGAATTCTTCCACTATATGCTAAGCTGCATAGGTAAAATATTAGGTCTCTCAAGGTGTAAATGATGACATACAAAATCTAGCCAATGATACATTCCAGATTGTCAAGGACTTTATGGAGTTGGGTAGGGCACAAATTGACTGAACATCAAGTTTCCCCCTGCAATTTGTACAGAATATCCAACCCTAACTCTTAAACCTACAAGAATTTCTCAGAGGGAGAGAGGACTTCAAGGGAGAACAAGAATTGGGAAGTTTGTCTTTCCTGAACATGTTAACATGCGCCCAAAGACAATGCTTTTTGTCTACACCGAAGTAAACTTCATGGAGTTTGCTAGGATTTTTTCCCAGAGAAGAGATGCTCAGTATTGCCAAGTAGCTTAACATAGTGTAGGAAAGAGGCAAGCAATACATGGGATGTTCTTACCAATCAGATTTGTGTTGCCTCCAAAGAACTCACAGATTTCACTGCTGAAATAGTACAGCAAAAATCCTGATTTTTGATGGCCCTGTTTTTCCAACTGGGCCACCAGCCACAATCTTTGTAGTTGTTGGAGGCTAAAAAGAAAAAAAATCAGAAAGGTCAGACCTCTACAATTGTAAAATAATAGTAATATTTTTAAAAAATCTGATTTCCTTCAACCCACTGCAATGTTAGAAGTACTTTTCAGTGAAGACTCCTATTTTAAAAAAGTTTTTTGGGGGGCTTTCATGTCATAGTTTGGATTCAAATTCTTGCAGTTTTAATACTCTAAATTAATTAGTTAATTTAACTAATAATTTTCTCATCGGCAAATGCACATCCTTTCTTGGCTTTGACTTTAGATGCTGCTTTTGAACAGGTTGCGGACAATGTCAAAAAATGCTTTGCTGCCCCAATAATCATCTTTCTTGTGTTGTTTACATGAACTTCTGTTTAGCTCTAAGAGAATAAAACTCACAAGCAGGAGGGCAAAATGAGAAGGGGTTGTTTGGGGTTTTTTTTATTGGTTGGCCTTAGGCTCTTGGCACCATTCTCATTCGTTCTTGCCTAGAAGACCTTGAAAAGTGCTTTGTAAGTCTTATTTCAGAAACAATTCCCTTTTTTTCCTATCTGGTAGTGAATAACCTCAGTGGAAAAAAAAGATGCTTAAAAGAAATCAAGGTAAAAGCTTCCCTGAGGGAAGATCGAATTTCAGTGACTCCATAAATCAGTTCTTTCTTTGTTTGGGTTTTTTTTTTGTTTTTGCAACGATAAGAAATCAGTGGCCATTGTCTCCTCTTGGGACATTATATTTCAGTTTCCCAACCCAGCCATTCCTCTTGTTCTTCTGTGGGACTTCTTGGTGGAAGTCTCTTACTCATCTAAATATTAACTAGGTCTGATCCTGTTCAGTTTTCTTTAAAGTCAGCTAAGTGCTACCACCTTCTCTAACAATTGTTCTTAAAAATTAATATACTGTTGAAACTGGAATTTTAAAATCATGAATGAGATTTTTGGGAAGAGATGGAGCAATCTGGGCTAAGAAGCCATGATCTCACCAGACATTTGTCTCTTGGCCCATAGTCAATACCAAGATTCCAACTTTTGGATGCTGCATATGTTAAGTTGTGGGGTCCAATATTCTCAATGTTTTATTCAGTATTTGTCTTGAAGGAAATGCATTCATTTAAGCAGAATATTTCAATTAATATAACTTATGGCCTGAAGGCCTACTCTGATCAGATTTGCATAAATCAATAGCATTTTTTTGTGATGGAAGGAATCAGAAATGGCCCTCAAGATTTTGTGAAGCTCGATAGAATTAGAAATGAATGCCATAAGCCTTTTTTCAATTACAAAATACTGATTGAAATGAAGGATCCATTCCTGTTTTAAAATACCAAGAAATTCTGAAGCCAATTCTATCACATCCTGTTAAAACATTCAAGGTCCCTGTTCTATTTTGCATTGCGTAGACTGCATTCTATAGCTTTATGACTAACCAGCAACCTGCATATCTTATACCTGAAATTGTCTGTTAATTGTCTTTTCTACAGAAGTAGCCATGTCTGTATATATAAATTTCCAGAACTGACTGAAAGCCAAGATTATTTTGCGTTATTGTGTTTGTCTTGCTTAGTCTCTTAGAAATTCTTGTCAGCTGCATGGGTCCTTTGTTACTGACTTTCTGTAGTTGCTGTAGTCTTTGCTCTGGTGCCAATTGTTGCCATCCCACAATTATATAGAAAATGAAAAATGACACTTTTTCACCCCACAGGTTAACAAGTAAACCACCACCAAGCATACCACCAGTTGATTATGTCCCAGGTATGGACTTGACATTATTAACACCGTAATTAGATTTTAGGATTGATGCAGGCATGTAAATCAGAGATTTAGGATTCAAAATAGTGGGATGTGTACATGCAAGCAGTTTTTCTGAGTTGTCCCTGTCAGGTGATTTATATGACTGAAATATGTGCTGATAGTCCTCGCCTTATGATGGGCTTCCTTTGCTTAACAACTGTAGCATTAACTTAATGACCACCATCAAAAAGATTGTAAAATTGAGTCAGTCATTAGACTATTATGACTTACAACCATGATGGGCAGGCTCCATTATGGTCATAGGTTAAGGACTAAGCTATAAATATTTTCTGATATGGGAATTATACCAAATAAATCTTTCCCACTTACTAAAATAACATCTCTCAGCAAAAGCAGAATACATTACATAGTAAGAGTGCCTTCAGTGCAAACTTGCCACAAAATGTCCTATGGATCATACTTATCCTTCATCACCACAAAAAATCCAGAATAATTTTCTCTGCTTTTAGAAACTAAAGTAAACCACAGAAAGGTGCATCAGCTTGAAGGTCGTGTCCCAACAAGCAGAAAACTTGACTACAACCTTTGTTTAACTACATTTGGGGGGGAATACTCCAGAGTGTCATTTGTGAAGCTCAGCAGAAAAGGATTACTCTATATAGGGCATAGTTTACAGGAGATCCACTTTGAAGATCCTTGATCATCAAACTCAGTCCTAGCTTTTATAAAACTCTCTTAGTTTTCATTTTTCTTACGGAGAACTTTGCAAGTAATAGGAATATTTTCCCAAAGAACATATCTAGCTGTCACTTGTGCTTGTGAGAACACTTTTGTTGATATTATTTGTACAACCTAAAATCAGGAAGTTAGTGGCTGCAAATCAAGCAGTCCACGGCAATTGCGACCAAGACTCACTTTATTCCCACTTTTGAACAAACGCTCCTAAAATCAAAGGAAGTTATTTCACACACATCCCAATCTTTTAGTTTATTTTATCTTATTTTATTTTATTTTATTTATTTTATTTTATATTTTATTTTTATTTATTTATTTGTTTGTTTGTTTGTTTGTTTGTATGGCCGCCCATCTTGTCAGAGTGACTCTTGGGCATTTAACTGTGATTAAAAACTCACAAGGAGTACAACACCCATTGATGTAACCGCTTCATGATTGTGGTTGTGTATATAATAGGGACAAGCAGGGACTCTGTAAGGCAAGTAAAAAAAGTCAAATGGCATCCATGATTTAAACCCCTCCCTCCTTTTTCCTTTTATGTCACCATCTTGATTTTGTTTAAGTCTCCATGTGGACTGGAGAGCTGGGAATGGAGAGCTACAAAATTCTCCTCTTGGCTCCTGATTTGTTAAATGACTTTTTTTTAAAAAAATTAAACAGTTAAGTAAGAGATTAGCATGCAACAAAGCAAAACATCAATTACTACCATTAAATGTATCTGCGGGAATTCTTTCAGCCATTCAAAGTTCTCACTAGGCGTATGAGAACTAACTAACCAGAAATGAAAGAGAAAAGGAAATATTTTCTCACAAAATGCAAAGGTTGTAGATCGAATAAAAACCGATTATCAAATCCCACTCTCACAGAGAATACCCCAAATTCCAATATAATTATACATATTTGATTTGTTTATCCCAATTGGAATTTTGATTTTATACTATTGCTATTGTACTTTAAAATGTTCAATGATCAAGTGTCAAACAAATAAAAAAGTGTTTGGAAGAAAGTGGCAGCCAATTCAAGCATTTAATGTAATTCATATAATATATTGTCTATAGAACTTGATTTTTTCTATACCCTTTGTATTAAAAAGGAAGGCAATCAAGAAGAACGCTTGAAGAGTTTACGGCCAACCATTTAACTCTATAATTTATTTTCATTAATTTCAATGGCTGCCATCCAAGATTAATCTTTCTAAGGATAAATTAATTAAAATCCACATGTATTTATTTAATCATGCCTATCTGGTTTTGCCAAATATAGTGAATAAATAATGAATTAATATTCATGTAATCCTAAGTATGTTATAGGACTGGAGTAGAAATAAGAACATTTGTCTTCGACATTTTGCTCACATGGCTGCTTAAATATTTTGACTAACAAATTATTCTAATTTTTATTTTAGACCGTACAGAAGAAGAGGAACAGTGGTCAGATGACTTTGTAAGTTTCTTTCCCATTTGCAAATCTCCAGGGCATCAGCAGGGACCATCAAAACCAAGAGAGCAGTTGTCCCAAAGAGCTTTTTGGCCAACATGCTACAAAGACATCCAAAGCCCAATTTTACTCCTAACAGGTTCATGCTATTGTATGCAAGCCATGATCTCTATTGTAAGCCAAAAAAACACTTTTGCTAGCATCCCGCCATCTAGAAATAGATGCAATAGCCCAGGGGCTTGCTCAGGAATTCTGGGAGTTGAAGTCCATAATTCATAAAAGGGCCATAGTTGCCCACCCCTGCAATAGCCTGTCACCCAATTAGACTATGACTGACCATTCACATCTGAAAATAATGATTACAATCTGTGTGTAGAGCACAGAGATAAAATGATGGGACTTTAGGTAATATCTGGGTGTTATTAAAGTAAGGCATTCTTTTAGCTGTTGAAACTCATAGCACATAATATATCGACCCATTTTTAAAAGTCGCATTTCACAGTTTCCTAAGAAATTCACAATCTTTTTCTGCCAGGACAGCGATTATGAAAATCCAGATCACCACTCGGATTCTGAGATGTATGTGGTCCCCACAGAGGAGAACTGTGATGACAGCTATGAGCCTCCTCCAAGTGAACATGAGCCAAAGACGGTCCCAATCCCATTCACATGTGCCCAGGGTGTATATGCAGGTATGTGCATTGTGTCCGCACTCCTGTTTCTCAAGATCAAAGTCAATGACATGGAATTCAAAGAAGCAGAAGAGTTTCAAATGGAGGCAGAAGCTTTTTTAAGATTCTGAGAGGTCCAAGGGCAGAACATCCATTTGAGCATACATATACAGTCACGCTCAAACACATTTGCACATACATCAATTTTTTTTTTCATGGTTTTCGATAGATTATACCCGATAACAAAATAATCAGGAGCAAGTGGAGAAACCTACAATGCAAAAATAATTCTTCCTATATATTTAAATAAATTCCACTGCCTAGAACAGGTTGTGTCAAACTTAAAGCCCGTAGGCTGGATCCATCCCACAGGGTGCTTAGATCTGGCCCATGGAGCTGCTCTGGAAATAGCCAAGGGCCAGCCTGCGGTGCCTCTGCCAGTGAAAACGGAGCTCAGGAGGGCCGCTTCCATTTTCGCTGGCAGAGGGTTGCAAGAGGCCGTCACAGCCGAAAATGGAGCTCAGGACAGAGCCACAGGCACCCCCGACACAAGTGACGTCAAGCTGGCCCTGCCCACCCTGGTCACACCCACCCCAGTCCCCCCAAGGTCAAATACAACCCTGATGTGGCCTCCATAAAATGAAGTTTGACACCCCTGGCCTAGAATGACAAATACTGATAAAAAACACAACTTGGTCAGTTTCAAGGCCACCAAGGTCAACGTGTTTAAAAACAAGGACCCAAATTACTTCTACAAACCACCATAGATCATATAGCATGAAAAATCCTATCGTCCCCATTCCATGCAAAAGGGAAGTAAAAACTTTTGGTTTCACTTCACCCAATGGCCATCTGTGTCCTCACCTCCTTTTGCATGTCATGTACCAAATAACAAACAAAAGTCCCAGCTGTTGAATCAACCTTCCTGTTGGCAGAGCTGAAGTCTAGGAACCATAAATCTCCAGCAATATAAGATAGGCGTTCCTGCAAATGGAAGAACAAACCGTCCACAAATCCACTGACTTTTACAATCGAAAATGAACTGTTTTTAATGCAGTCTCAAGTCCTGTGAAGAAATAAACTTGCTCTGTTCTTGCATATAATCATTTAATGTAATACGGACTTTCTCTTGCAGTCCAAAACAAATTCATATGGTTGTTGGTGCTATAGAACTTGTTACAGTTTAGTGCAGGGGTGTCAAACTCATGACGGCATGTTATCGTCACGTGACATATCACAACATTTTCCCCCTTCGCTAAACTGGGGGTGGGCATGGCCAGCGTATGGTGCATTCAGCCCCCGGGCCGCGAATTTGACACCCCTGGTTTAGTAGGATTCCATTCCAAGGAAATACAACTGCATGAAAATGGAAGGGAATGCCCTTAATATTATTATTTTTTAATTATGCATAATTTTTTTCTTCTACCGTCCACAGATGACAAACGATCTAGCCAACAGAAGACGTGGTCCTCACCTATTACGCCAAACCAATCTGCATCTCTATCAAAGAAACCAGCCACTTTGCCGCTACCGCCATCTGCTGTTCAGAAGCCTAAACTCCCACCCAAGCGAATGGATGATGAGGTGACACTTCCCATTTTATACCCTCTGCATGTGTCTTCAGGGAGGTAACAGGCTGTCCCCTTTCTTCCTTGTAACCTATAATACAGGTAGTCCTCGACTTACAAAGTTCATTTAGCAACCATTCCAGTTACAATGACACTGAAAAAAGTGGCTTACAATTGGTCCTCACACTTTCAAGAATTGTAGCATTCCCATGGCCATCTAATCAAAATTTGGGTGCTTCACAACCAGTATGAATTTACAACAGTTGCTGGGTCTCAGGATTATGTGATCCCCATTGGAAGCCTTCCCACCAAGCTTCCAATAAGCGAAGTCAATAAGGAAATCCAGATTTGCTTAACGATGGTGTGATTCAGTTAACAATTGTTTGACAACCATGCCAAAAAAAGGTCATAATATTAAGCACAACTCACTTAACAGCCACCTTGCTTAGCAACCAAAATTCTGCTCCTAACTGGTCATAAGTTGAGGACTACCTGGGTAGACATCATAAAGCTGTTCATTGTAATTAAAGCTCCTTTTTGAAAAAAATCTTTAAAGTGTTGGTGAATGAATAGATGGCACACGTCAACAGAATTTTTATCAGAGGATAATTAGGACTGCAGAAAAAACAATTACTACCAACCTGCCTTCAATTGAGGACCTGTATACTGCATGAGTCAAAAAAGAAGGCTGTGAAAATATTCACAGACCCCTCACATTCTGGACATAAACTGTATCAACTCCTACCCTCAAAACGACACTATAGAGCACTGCATACCAGAACAACTAGACACAAGGGCAGTTTTTTCCTGAACGCCATCACTCTGTAAACAAATAATTCCCTCAACACTGTTCAATTATTTACAAAGTCTGCACTACTATTACTATTAACCTTCTCATCACTCCTTATCACCCATCTCCTCCCACTTGTGACTGTATGACTGTAATTTTGTCGCTTGTATCCTTACTATTTATATTGACTGTTTCCTAGCATGATTTGATTGCTTATTGTACCCTCTGACTATCCTTAAGTGTTGTACCTTATGATTCTTGACTCTTGATGAATGTATCTTTTCTTTTATGTACACTGAGAGCATTTGCACCAAGACAAATTCCTTGTGTGTCCAATCACACTTGACCAATAAAGAATTCTACTTCTATTCTATTTATACTGTATAATCCAGGAGGATAAAAACTTTATTAATAAAAGCAATCACACATATCTAATATTTACAAAAGAACAGTAATCTAATATAGAAGCTCTTCTCGGTGAGATCTCAAAGTGAAGATCAATCTCTTATTCAGGAAAAATAGATCCTTCCCATATGAGATTAACTGGTAATGCTTTTGACAAGGTAGAAAAAATAGCAGTCAAAACTTGGTTATCTGGTTCAGTCAGAAAATGGACACTTTTAAGTTCCATTTATTTTAAAGTTGAAACATTAGCAATAGCACTTAGGCTTATACACTGCTTCACAGTGCTTTACAGCCCCTCTCTAAGCATTTTTGAAAGTCAACGTATTGCTCACAACAATCTGGGTCCTCATTTTACCGACCTCAGAAGGATAGAAGGCTGAGTCAACCTTGGCCAGGATGAAAGGAATTGAACTCCTGGCAGTGAGCAGAATTAGCCTGCAATACTGCATATTAACCATTGTACCACCATGGCTCATTAGGACGTGCATAAAATTTTACTGAACATAGAGAGGAAAGCATTTGTTTGCCTTGCATTAAGCATGCAAATATTAAATCATCACTGTGTTTTTCTTTTAGGCAGATTATGTTGTGCCAGTTGATGATGACGAAGACAATGAAGATAATTATATAGAACCCACAGAAGAAAGCACTTCACAACCTGTAAAACGTAAGGTTTTGAATGATTTTCTTTGCAACTTCAGAAAGACAGGGATGTGATTAAGGCATTAACTGAAATATGTGAAATATACACAGGCAGCTATTTTTAAAAAATCTGCTATTGGACTTTTGTATTCAGATTAAGTTTTCCTTTACTTATGAGAAGGTAAGGACTTTAAAAGGAAGAATGGAAGACTGGGCAAAGAATTAGGGGCAAGTAAAAAATAGCTTCTGTGAGAAATAAAAACAGTGAGAACTAGAATCGGCAGCTTTTTAATAGAAATTTCTTGGGATTTGGGAGATATGTTACTTTCATTGTATAATATATTATGCTGTAGGGTAGTGTTTTTCAAACTTTGAACTTTAAGGTATATAGACTTCAAATTCCAGAATTCCCCATGTCGGTGAGGAATTCTGGGAGTTGAGGTTCACAGATCTTAAAGTTGTCAAGTTTGAAAAATACTGCTCTACGGTTTACAGTGCTTCGGATTCAGAGGTAAAAAAAGTGTTTCACGGAGCACAAGGAGAAATTCATAGCATACACGTCCTTCAAAATGCTTCGGTACCTGGGATCATACATACAGGTGCAGCTGCTTTCACATTTCTATCTCTGCACTCCTGAAAGAACCTTCACCTTTACATCCAGGGTAATTTCATGATCCTTCGCTTTTTGGGAAATATAAATTTGGAAAGAGGTATGTGCAAATGATCCCTGAACCCTTTTGAAAAAGCAACCTGAATTTTCAATGGAACAAGCAAAGTATACTGTACCTTAGGTAATGGATCAGCATGGGAGGCTAAACTGTTTCTGGATTTTGACTTTCTCAGATCTCTAATACTGCACTTTGATCAATTTTAGCACCTGTGGTGAACAGATCAACCAAGCCTCCCTGTTCTTTGCCATCACCTTCCACACTAGGTAAGAAAATTTTGCGTTTATCTTCCCCAAATCATGCAAAAACGCAATCAGTGGGTTGTAAAATAAATTCAGCTTTAATTCTAAACAACCAAATTGGATGCATTCCCTTAAAGAAAAGTAGGATCCAAAAGGGAAATGTCTTATACATTTTAAGAATGTTTCTCCATAAGTACTCCAGACAGTTGCTGTACATAAGGCACCAGACTAGAAAGCTCCTCCCCTTTTAACATGCAGCAGTACCATACATATGTAAAAAGGGGCAGGACTTCGATCACATTGCTGGGACCACAACCTTGTCTGGTTTGAATCTTTTCCCCTGCAGATGCTGCTGAATGCAGGATTAGAAAAGAAGCCCAAGCCCAGGCATGATATCCTGTCTTTAGTGAAACGATGATGAACACAATGTATCTTTAGCATGACTTGCAAATATCTAACATTTTCTTCAAAGCCATCTCTTAAGGATGCAGTTCTATTTATTCAGAAATTATTTTCATTGAATGTGAAAATATTTTAATTCCTAGCAATCCATTAAGAAATAAAGTGAAGACTATCCTTGAGTCAACTCCTGCTTATTGCATGGAAGACGTTTTCTTGGTAGCATTGCAAAAGTGGTTGGCCCTTGTCTTCTTCTGGGATGTTCTTTCGTTGCCTCAGAATTTGGCCAATTCAGAAAGCTAAGCAGGTCCTTTGAGATCACTAGGAAATCTCAAGGTTAGACTGGGAAATCAAAAAACCTAACTGGAAGAAGGTATAGGCAAGCACATCTATATTCACATCCACGAAATCACCAGAAAACATGGAGACTGTATAAAGGATTGCACTGTTAATCTAAAAATGAAATATTTGTGTCATTCATGTGCCTAGTTTTGGACAGAAATTGTTTATTTTTGTTTCTACCCTCTTGTCTGCAGATGTATATGAAATTCCTGAGGAAGAGGTAAGATGCTGTATTTATTATTTTTAAAAGACTCACCTGTGTAGGAAGAGAAGAAATATTCAGAGCAGAAAGAGGGAAATAACTCTTTGTGGTACATGAGTGTACAAGAGGAATATCATGGATATGTTCAAAATTGCATTTTATATATAGCACTTAAGGACGCCAAATGCAATTTTCATCTCCTTTCACAAAATGGCACCAATGAGATCCATTTCTAGGGAAAGATGAGAATATCAACTAAGTTTAAATCTTACTTGTTTTGCAATAATAATTTAAAGAAAAATATGTTAACGATATTTATGAGTTTTCTAGGATAAAATACTAGTAACAAAAGTTTGAATGAGCAAATTTGATGTATTTATTTGATCTGATTTTGAAATTCACTATAGAAGGGATATTATATTTCAGTAATATGAAGTAGTTGTCATAGCATCTCCTACAAATTGACAAGAACTGGCATTTTAGGGGAAATGTTCCTTAAGAAAATTAAAAACCTAATGCAATTTGTAAATACTAATCTAATTCATTTTCTCCAGCAGAAGTCATCACCTCCATTACTCAGGTAACTTATTGTTCTCTCTGAAATTATAAGTAAATGTTGCTGCATAGTAGAGGTTATTTCCTCAATTTATTTTCTCCTTAAAAAAACCTCTTAATCTAAGGTAGATAATTGTAATTTTACGATACAGCGGTATTTTAGTACAATGATGTCTTGCAAAATAGCTGATATGAGGTCAGGCAAGAGACAATTTATGCTAGAATTCGAATATGGCTATAACCTTTGATAAACCCAGCTTTTCCCATATGCTGCTTCTAAGTCTCCATCTGCACATTGTACATATCACACTGAATATCTGATTCCAAAGCTTCACACCGAAATTAAGTACTTTAATTCTACATAATCCCCCAACAACTGATATTTGGAGAACTGTAGGAGGCGGAGGAATGTAGGAGAAAGAGCGGCGGAGACTAGGGATGGAATCAAAAGAGCAATCAGCCTGGAGTCACTATGTGGGCACAAATGAACTAAGTACAACCCCTCTTGAATTCTGTTAACCTTTACATAGCACCAGAATATTGCTTACTGTTAGTTGACTAAAATCCTGTGCACAGGCATAAGCAATACATTAGTTTAAGTGGAATGCAATACATTAGTTTAATGTGTGACCTTGGTCTTTTGCGCCTCACATTAATATAATCAACTAACGGTTAGCACCATTTTGACGTTATACAAGGATTAACAGAATTCAAGAGGGGTTGAACTTAGTTCATTTATGGCTATGACTCTAGTGACTCTAGGCTGACTCTAGGCTGATTTCTCTTTTGACTCCACCCTCCAGCTCTGCTACTCCTACATTTACACAGAACTTCCAGGCATCTGTGGGGAACATGACTTGGAAATGTAGACTTGTGTGAAAAGCCTATTTGTATTTTTTGTCCCTAAGGATATCCAAGCCGCTTCCTCCCAAACCAGCTTTGAGGCCATCTCATGAACGAAGCATACCTAAAGAATCCTTCACATCCGATACGTTTAAATCAGACAGGTAAGTTTTCAGTTTTAAAAACTTGCTAATGAATAGAATGCATGTTGAGCATTTAATGTGGCTTTGTGAGTAGTGTTCCACTTTGACTAGGAAGAATTGAACTTTTATACATATCTAAAGAACTTTGAATCCAAGTTTAAATGTGGCCTCGTTTAGGAACAGATAGAACATTTTTTTAAAAAAAAAAGCAAGGCTAGATCCCATGAAACCAATCTAAATCAATTATTTACCCTAAGACACTGCCATTTTGAGCGTAAGGAATCAAAATTCCCTAGGCTTTACAAGCTGTGCTGATCTGGCATTGGTCTTCATCCAACTGGGAGACCAATCCAGCTTACAGTCTATGGACTTCCTCAGTGTCAGGAGTGTTAGAGCTGAAACCACATTTGTGCTTTAGGTAAAATAGCACTGTCTGCACACTCTCTGAAACACAATAAAAATGGAACAGCTTTCTGGACCTGATCTATTGATTATAGTTCTCATCAACCCTAGATAGAAGTGTGCTGTGGTATCTGATGATGATGAGGGTTATATTATAGGAGATGGAATGTATATGCTATCCATCTTGGAGGGGCACCAGGTTTAGGAACTGAATTTAACATAGCCCCTTTTTAGAGAACCCAGCTCTGTTCCCACTGGGAAAATACCCCTAAAAGCAACCATTGGAAAACAGATAATTGCAGTTTTATTTAAAGGAGAAAAATAAAGACTAAAATATTTCCTATTCCTGTTGGGCATCATACCTGATATAGTAAAAGAAAGGCATATTTAATAGTACTTTTGTTAACAGTGGACAAAATCATGTTCGCACAACATTGGAAGGGCGAAGAGATCCCCACAGAAGAAAAGATAATAACAAAAATGTTAGAATGTGCAGAAATGAATAAACTAACATTTGAAATTAAAGAAAAGGAAGACACTAAATATTTTGAAGTATGGGATCTGTTGGTTAAATAAGAGAAACAGGAATTAGAAAATTCAAAGATTACAAGAGAACGATTAATCTCACGATCAGGGTTGTTTATTGTAACTTATTAATTGTGATTAATTTTGATTAGTTTTGCTATTTACCAATGGTAAATATTTACCAGTATTTACCAATGTTATGAGGGAAAAGCACTGTTGTCATGAAAATATAATTAGAGAAGACTATTACTATGATTATGACGAATATTATTCCCAAGAAATGTAACCAGGCAACACACTGTATATATGGCTTTTGAACACATTGCTCTTTCTTTTTATTTATATATTAATAAAAAATGTTTTTTAAATATTTCCTGTACTTTCCAGAAACATTTTACCACTTCCAAGGCACCGCCCTTCACCAAAAGCTGTAAGTATTTCACATCCAAGTTCATAATGCAATATGAACACTCTGGACTATTGTAATGTACTCTAGATGGGGCTGCCCTTGAAGTGTATCCAGAAGCTTTCGTTGTTTCAGAATGCAGCGGCCCGCACAATTTTGCGTAAGCGTGTAACACCAGTTTTGCAAGAACTATACCAACTGCTAATCTACTTCTGGGTACATTTCAAGGTCCTGGTTATCACCTTTAGAGTCCTACATGGCTTGGGGCCAGGCTGCTTGAAGGACCATCCTCTCCCCCATTACATCCGCTTAGCCCAGCAGGAGAGGAAGGCAGGGTATGTTGCAGGTCCCATCTGGTAGGAATGCATAAGTGGTAGGACCATAGAAAAGGGTCTTCTCAGTGGTGGCCCCTTCTCTATGGAACATGATTCCTCCAGAGGTAGGATTGGTTCCTGACTCGCTGCTTTTCTGAAAGGCTCTGAAAATGTGCTCTGATAGCAGGCCTGGTGACGATGGAGATGGGGATGATTGAGTGGTTGATTTGACCAGGGGTGGTGGAGAGGGCAAGTATGTTTTTTATGTTGTGGAGTTTTAATATTGTTAGCAACTGGAATCACTTGTGTCTGAGTTGGGTGGCCATATAAATCTGCTTAATAAATAAAGTAATAAAGATACAATGAGGTTCCACAGGTAGGGTAGGGTAGGGTAGGGTAGAGTAGAACAGAAAAGAAAAGAAAAGAAAAGAAAAGAAAAGAAAAGAAAAGAAAAGAAAAGAAGCTGGAAGGGACCTTGGAGGTCTTCTAGTCCAACCCCTTGCCATGACACAGTTAGCCCAAACTCCAGGATAATTTAAGTATCCTGTCTTGCTCGTGCCTAGATATATGCATACAAGCCTTCTTTGTCAGAGTCTTATTTATTTTTATTTATTTATTTATACTTCATATTTCTTAATCACCCATCTCCCTCAGATTCTTATGTCCTATCTCCAGATCTGGAATGGCTGCCATTTAGGGTTTACAGAAACTGGAACAAACCGCGCTTCAAAATCTGATTTTCGCAAAACCATTACAGTGTTTATGCTGGATTAAACAGAAACCAGCAATCCTGTTTTAAACATTTCTGACATAGGGATTGGGTGGTAGGCCAAGCTCACTAATTGGGGCTTTTTATTTTGGTGCCATTTGAACACAGGGCTTAATAAAACAAATGTTTTTCAAGCTGACCGTTGTTTTTTCTATAGCATGTAAAGCTATTTTCCAGAGGATGACGCCCTTTCAGTTCAACTCAAAAACTCTGAAAAGTATCATTCCCTACAGTGTAGTTTAGAGTAGTTTAATTAAGAATTTTATTGGCTCCAGATTTTATCTTCCTGCAGCTTAATGCTGTGGGTCTTCTGATCATATCTCACCGAAGGCATACCACCAGGTTTCCCAACCTTGACCCTCTTAAAATGAGCGGACTTCAATTCCCAGAATTCCCCAGTCAGCTTAGAATCAGACATTTCAGAGGATTGCCTATCTTGAACTTCATAGACTTATATATGGCTGAGAAGGAATCTGCCAAGGTAGTTGAAAAACTGTTGAGTAATATGTTGACTCTGTCCAGAGCAGGAAATGAGCTAATGAATCATAATGGGGAGCCAGCAGAAGCTTCTCACAACATTAAAATGAAAGGAACAAGCTTGGCAAGAGAAGACTAATTCATTGAACTCACTAGGATGCTAGAGATTTGTAAGCAGATCAATCCCAAAGGCATAGAAGGATTACAAAAAAATGGGGCAAAGTCACACAACTTGCTCGTGCAGAATGTCCATAAATGTGCAAGCATTTCTGAAAGTTAAGCCCGTGTACACAAACTAGCCTGCTGACCAGTTGGATCGATTAACTACCTCAACATTTCTAAGGTTTTAGTTTTAATATGAGAGGCAGTTTAGTCTAATGGTTGAGGCACCAGGCTACCGAAGAGAAGCAACCTAGAACTATGGAGAAATTTCCGAACAGTGAGAGCAGTCCACCAATGGAATAGCTTGCCTTCAGAAGTTGCGGGTGCTCCATCACTACAGGCTTTCAAAAAGAGACTGCAAATCATTTGTCTGAAATGGTATAGGCCAGAGTCTCCTGCTCAAGGAGGGGGTTGAACTAGAAGGCCTCCAAGATCCCTTCCAACTCTATTATTCTATGTTCTGTAAATCAGAAGATTGTGAGTTCTAGTTCTGCCTTAACCATGAAAGCCAGCTGGATGCGTCTCTCAGCCCAACTCACCTCACAAGGTTGTTGTTGTGGGGAAAATAGGAGGAGGATTTGCTGGATATGTTCACCACCTTGAATTTTTCATAAAAATAATAAATAGCAGAATACAAATAAATAAATATTGATGCTGCTGTTTATTGATGTCTGTGGAGATTCTCAGTCATTCAGGTCATGGTTGTCCCAAAGGCGCTTTTTTCAAGAGGCAACTGGACTTTCTGGTTTTTCTTTGAAGATGTTTCACTTCTTATCCAAGAAGCTTCTTCAGCTTTGAAGAAATCCTTCCATTCCCCACCATCCAGTCAGAGCTGAAGAGGCTTCTTGGATGAGAAGCAAAACATCTTCAAAGAAAAATAAGAAAGTCCAGTTGCCTCTTGAAAAAAAGCACCTTTGCTGTTTATTGATGTTTTTATTGATTTTGTGTAGAACTATAATTAAGTAATTAATTTGACGATGACATCTTCATTAAGTCATATAATAAAAATAAATAAGTATTTTTGCAACACAGTTATCATAATGCCTGAATTACAATTTGCCCAGAGATGTTAAATAATGAGAAAACTATTTTAATTTCAGGATCCAGAGGTCCTTGGAACGCAAAACGATGGAAGTAAGAATATTCTGCCTTAAAGCCAAATGTGCAGTGACTTCTAAGATGACTAGGAACACAAAAGTTGCTTCCAAATAGCAGTGTTTCATGTTGACTTTACTATTTCATGTGACCCTATGAGTATGTGGGAAGAAAGCCGTTGCATCTGTCTATCAAAGTGCATTAATTTTGTTGACAGATCTTTCTGAGGTTTTCTTAGAATTGCTTGAGCTTTTCATTTTTGCCATAATGTTTTTTAACAGATGAGGAACCTGTGGCCATCTGATGTTGTTGAACTACAATTCTCACCTACCCTGATGAACATGATCGGTGGTGAGAAACGACCGTATGAAAATTGTATTCAACAACATCAGGAGAACCATAGCTCCATGTTAGCTTCAAAAGCTGGTTTAATGTAGCAGATAAGAATGTGTCAGTTGTGGAATCTTTGCTTTGAATTTCACCCTTTCCACAAATATAACCTTAGATCAGTGTTTCTCAACCTTGGTAACTTGAAGATATGTAGATTTCAACTCCCAGAATTCCCTAGCAGCATGCTGGCTGGGGAATTTTGGGTGTTGAAGTCCATATATCTTCAAATTGCCAAAGTTGAGAAACACTGCCATAAACAAATCATTTTCTCCCTGTGCCTCTCCCTACCATGTTTAGGGAATAATAATGTTAACATACTGCAATTGAGCCATTGCACAAATGAAAAAATAATATGAAATGCTTGAAAGTTTCTGTATTTTTGATCCATAATTGTAACTGCATATGGATAATACTCCAAATGTTTTCGGTAAATGCTGTATGATGGTATATGGTAAAACTTTTATTTTATGAGCCTCCGTTCAGTGGACTTTGGATACAGCAGTTTAAAATTGCATTTGAACTGTTTCACAAAGCAATGTTTGTGCAGTTTATGTAAACTGGAATTTAATTGACATTTGGCTTTAATAGACATAGCTTCTTCCCACTTTGTCTATAAAATAAATTTTTTATTGTGTGTTACATTATCAAGATACTTTAATAATTTTGAGCATTATGTTTTAGGTGTTTTGAACTGTACTGGGCAAATCCTATCAAAAAGGAGATTCATACATATTCCCGATTTTTCCAATACAGTTTGGTCAGTGGATTTGCACATTTTCACTGATTTTCACTGGCTTTCTTATACTCAAAATAGTAGCAGCAGTAGTCTAAACTTTAGAAACGTAACATTTTGTAAACCAACAGGTGCATTGAACTAACTACTGTATTTGGATTTTTAGACAATAGCAGCAATAATGCTGCAGAATTTAAAATTCCTTCTGTTAATGTTCCATCTCCATTTCCCAGGATCACGTAAGTGTTAAAAAAATAATTCCTTCTTACTATAGAAACTGTTACAGAGTTGTTGTAATCCTTAAATGCAGTATTTACAGAAGCAACGATATGGGTTGTAATCATTTTAAACACCATGCTATTGAAGTAGTTAACTACTCTGATAGATTGGATAGATGTAAAGAAAGGTTTTGTATATTTTAAGCGCCCCTGAGAAGGCAGTGTGCAAAGTCTGTGATGCACATTTTTAAAAAGGGACAGGGCTTTGATCACATGGCCACAGTTGCCATCTTGATTTTTTTGACCCATTGCCCTACTTGATATTTGTTCACCCCTTTCCATCTGGGCTTAGTTCACACATGTTTCATCATGTTTAACATTGTTTAATATCAATAATTCTAATCCTTTCTGATACGAGTCTTTGGACTCCTTGGACTGATCTGATATCAAGGCCACCCCACAGTAAAATGTCATACTTTGGGAGATAGTCAGCCTAATAGGAGCAGTGCTCAAATGCCAAAGCAAGTTGGCTTGTTTGGAGAACAGGCTAACACTGAGATGGAGTTAGCCAGATAGACAACTAGCCAGACGTGTCATTCCTCCTCTTCTATGTACACAGAGGCAAGAGGATTTCCTTTCTCTAGGAACTGCCATTTTTGCTCTGAGGGCAGCTCCGTTAATTATTGTAGACTCCTTCTTGCTTGCAGGGAGGGACACTAGCATTCCTTGCTTCTTACCAGGATTCTGGGGTTGCCCGAAGGAAAGACAGTGAGAGAACCAACTTGAAAATGGTTTGGAGAGATCCAGAAATGGAAATAGCAATAGCATTTAGACTTATATACAGCTTCACAGTGTTTTACAGCTCAATCTAACCAGTTTACAGAGTCATCATACTGCCCCCAACAATCCGAGTCCTCATTCTTACCAACCTTGGAAGGATGGGAGGTTGAGTCAAATTTTAGCCAGTCAGGATCGAAGGAATCAAACTCCTGGCAGTGAGCAGAATTAGCCTGCAATACTGCATTCTAACTACTGCACCATCACCGCTCCTATGGTACTATGCACTGTATAAGCCAAACCTCAATTTACATAGTTAGGGTTTCCAGTAGTAAGCAAGAGAGTTGTCAAGACAGCGGTGTCCAGTTTTGCAACCTTTTTTGCCATTGTGGTTAAACTAATTATACCATTATTAAGTGAATCATGCAGTCATTAAGCAAACCTGGATTGCCCTGTTGACTTTGCTTTTTTAGAAGCCAGCTGGGAAGATCACAAATGGCAATTACTGACCCTGGGACACTGCAAATATATGTGCAGGTCGCCAAGCGCCCAGATTTTGATCATGTGCAAACTGCAGCAATCATAGGTATGAGGATCAGTTGTAGGTGTCAAATGACTGGTTTTAAGTCATTCAGAAGGACCTTTGAATCCAAGCTTAATGCTTTTCAGTGTCATTGCAGTTGCCGAATGACTGGTTTTAAGTCATTCAGAAGGACCTTTGAATCCAAGCCTAATGCTTTCCCCACACAGATTGTACCAATGAGAACGATACACCCTGTGCTTATAAATTGTGTGGTTGTCAGAGCTAGCTAGCTAGCTTCACTTTCTCATGCATTGTATCAGTATGGAGGCAGTATGAGAGATTTCCGCTTAGAGAAGTGCAGGAAACAGACTTGCATAAAGAAATATAGGCATCCAAATGTGGGTGCTCATAAATTGGATCATGAGGAAGAAGACTGCAAAGCAAAGGAAAGTTTAATAACACTCTTGCATTCATATATTTTTTTTCTGCAGAAAAAAGCAAATGAATCCTGCAATACCGCTGGTGAGTTTGTGTTTTTAAAATCGTCACACTGAAGAGCCATTCTAAAAGCAACCTAAAATAATTATATCACCACTTTGTTCAATCTATGTATCTATTTATATACAGTATGTGCATATATACAGTATTTTTTTATTTTGCATTTTGTTGGATTAAATCAATCATATTATTCCTTTTTTATATATTACTGGAAATGCATCATTCATTACAAAACAATCTGGAATTTTCAATGGTATCTAAAATTGCACAGCTAAATTGCAGTGCTGAATCATTAGAAGTTTTATATAATAAACACTGATTCAAGCATAGGAAATGAGCAGGTGTCATATCTATATCTATCTATCTATCTATCTATCTATCTATCTATCTATCTATCTATCCACACACACACACACACATTACTTTTAATAGATAAAGTCATTATCATCTTGAAACAAAGTACATAACAAATTAGACAGAGCCAAAAGAATTGGCAAGCAATGGCAGAATTCTATTTTAGCAAAAGTTTCAGATGAAATCTGGGAACAGACCAGTGATGTCTGTTAATTGTGGTCAGTTAGTGTAAACTTGGTTCAATTACAGCAGGACTATCCCAACAGATGATGGATATAAGAAACAAGCAGTGATTGTAATACTTGTTTCCAATGGTTGATCTCCCATTTCTGTGATTAATATTCAGGATTATATATTGTTAAAACATACTGACTGAATTGGAGCATTTTTTGTTACTACATTACCTAGCATAGTAGAGTTCTTCAATTTTCACATTTATATCTCTCTGCATGTGGTGGCTCAGTGGCTAAGACACTGAGCTTGTTGATCAGAAAGGTTGGCAGTTCGGCAGTTTGAATCCCTAGCGCTGAGTAATGGAGTGAGCTCCCATTACTTGTCCCAGTTTCTGCCAACCTAGCAGTTCGAAAGCATATAAAAATGCAAGTAGAAAAACAGGGACCACTTTGGTGAGAAGATAACAGCGTTCCATGTGCCTTCACTGTTTAGTCATGCTGGCCACATGACCATAGAGACGTCTTCAGACAGTGCTGGCTCTTTGGCTTTGAATGGAGATGAGCACTGCCCCCTAGAGCTGGAAACGACTAGCACGTATGTGCAAGGGAAAGCTTTACCTTTACCTATCTCTGTGTTGACCTGTTCCTTAATATGGATTTTGACATTTTTTCCTGTGACCAGGGCCAAAGTCTTTTTCAATATAGTTTCTGTTCATATTGAAGAATCAATTATAATCTTGATTTGACAATCATCAAACATGTTTTCTGTTTATTTTCTGTTTTGAAAGACACACATTATGATTTAGGGTGGATTCCACTGCTAACATAATGAAAATGGAATGGCTAATAAGACAATTGCCTAGTGTCCAAGCTACAATTTGCTACAATGAATATAAAATTCACTAAACTTTATTGTCAAGAGTGCAAAGCAAAAACAATAATTCTAAATGCATTAGCCTACTAGAGCTACACAGAGTTTTAATTTCCAGATGTGATTCAAAGATGGCTACATAAAATATACTGGTTGAATTTATTCAAGAAAAAAAATCAAATTTAGAAATTGATTTGACACTTCAATTGCTTTTTGTCAGGGAAATCAAGGGGATGATCCAAACAATCAAGATAACAGCCCTGACCAAATGAATGAAACCCTACCCCTATTTGTGTGGTTTATATCAAATTGATTTAGAATGACAGCTTGAAACTGAATCTTAAGTGTTTTGAAATACAAATCAGAATGTCTCAAGTGAAAACGAGTCAACATTTCAAACCAAATAAACAATTCCAATGACTTGTACATTCTTCAATCCACAAAATTAAATAGTATTTTAAACCAATTTTGCTCAGCGAGATGTTCTCTGGATGGGTTGCATTTGAGTTGCTCAACTGGATACTGACTAGGAATTTATGGACATTGATGATCTACTGGAGCCATCAGATTGAGAGAGGTTATTCTAATTTTTCAATATGATTGCCTCCTATATCTTCATCTTTGGTATCCCATTAATAAATGCAGATGAGATTACCTGTAAAATTAACTGCTTCTGCAGAAGAGCAAGTACTCAGCAACATGACTGAATGCAACAGAAATTTATGCAATGTATGTATTTGGTTCTTCTGTCTCTATTAGTAGTCAAACAATAAATATCTATTACACTACAATGAATTCTATTATTGGAAATGCTTAATGTTGTGGTATGTTGCATCAGACATTCTTTCTGTTGATCAGAAGTCTGAAAAAAAAGTGTATAAATCAAATTTATTTGCATTTATTTGCTTTAATTCTGTATTGTAGAAACCAAGCTTACCTGATAGAGACCACTTAAATATTGCTGAAGGTAAATTGCTTTTTTTTTCCTTTTCAAAACTTTTAATGTTATTGATGATTGCCACTTTTCCTGTGGAGAATAATATCATAGCAGTGGTAGAACACATGAATTACCTTACCAGTAACTTGATTTTCCAATAAATAATAGGGACAAGCAGTGAGTTGAAAGACATGTATTATTAAGACTGTGGACAGAGGTTGCAAATACTGCATTGGCTAAAATAACAAGACAAGTAGACTCACTGTCTTTCTACAGATAAATATTAATTCCAATAGTGTGGGCAGAGGACTGTATTAATGGCATCATTAGGTGCACCTGATGAGCCATTATAGGAGATTGAATGCTGGTTAGACAGACCTGAGTCTGATCCACAGGACTATCCTCATGTTCTCAATTTAAGAACAAAGAAAGCTTTCCCCCCCTAGGCCAGTAGCTATAATTTTCATCTGTTCCTCGACTTGTATAATTCAGCCCAAAATTTATGTTGTTTTGTTAAGTGAGTTTTGCCCCATTTTATGATCTTTCTTATAGCACTTGTCACATGAATCACTGCAGTTGTTAAGTTAGTAACACGGTTGTTAAGTGAAACTAGATTCCTCATTTACTTTGCTTGTCGGAAGGTTGCAAAAAGTGATCCCATGACTCCAGGACATTGCAACCGTCATAAATATGAGTCCGTTGCCAAGTGTGTGAATTTTGATCACATGACCATGGGGATGCTGTAAAGATTATAAAAATGTAAAACAGTCATAAGTCATTTTTTCCAGGGATGTTGTAACTTTGAACAATCATTAAATGAACTGTTGTATTGCCGGAATTGTTTAATTCATTGGGAATGAATTAAACAATTACATTCTAGATTGTAAAAAGGTGGCTAGATTAATCAATAAACAATTAATTTAAGAGTAGGTTTATGTCTTTGACAAACTTCTGTTAGCCCCAGAGAAAACGGATTGTGGGATTTAGAGTCCAACCTCTTAGTGTATCGCGGTCCACTTTTTGGTGAACTGCGGTGCTTGCAAACACTAAAAGTCTGTTGAAATAAGATTGCAATCTTTGTATATGCATGATTGTTTTCTAAAGATAACACATGTACATGTGTTCTGACAATTAATGAACAGATTGTAATGTAAGGAACAGTTCAGATAAGTCTACTAAAATTGGTTTATCAGTCTTTATTTCCCAAGCCAAGTGATATTATTGATTCACACACAATCCAGCCAATTATGATTTATTCAGTTTACTTAGATAGTATAATGACTAACTATAATGTATGATCAGGTCCTTATCTACACTTTGAACAGAAACAGGTTGGGGTTTTTTTGAGTAACTTGCCCTTGCTCTTTTAGCAATTATAGGAAAAAGAATGTATAGTATTATAATCCAGAGGTGTCCACAGCTTACTTAAGATAATAACAATAGCACTTAGACTTAAATACCACTTCACCGTGCTTTAATCCTTCTCTAAGCAGTTACAAAGTTAGCATACTTCCCTCAACAATTTGGGTCCTCATTTTACCCACCTCGGAAGGATGGAAGGCTGAGTCAACCTTGAGCCTGGTGAGATTGAACTGCCAAATTGCAGGCAGGCAGCAGAAGTAGCCTGCAATACTGCACTCTAACCACTGCACCACTGTGGCTCATAATCTTCTAGTCCTGTGGCTCATAATCTTCATAATATTTTAGGGGAATCCTATGATCAATGTACATGTATTATTTATATAGCAAGATATTTAGTCAATAGAGGATAGAATGGATCAGCAAACAACCTTGTAGACCAGCAAGGGCAAAATGAACATCTGAGCCTAGAATCATTGCTCTAGTACAAGTTGGAGTAGTTCCACCAAAGCTGGACTCATTTGTGAACCTAACTAATCAGACTTCTCTATCCTTTTTCAAATACAGATAAACCTATACCTGCTGAACGCCGCCGGGGTTCCAATCACGACATGCCTCTTCCACCCATCCCTTCCAGCATTCAAAAGTAAACATGTCTTTTTTTTTTTAAAGCAGCTTTATTATTACAGATCCTGATCTGGCAGTTCTAACTAAGTGGGAAGGCTCAAAAGAATATAAAAGTTGATAAAGACGTGATGCAGTAGTATGTGGCACTAACAAGCCTTCCATATTGCTTTTAGACAACATTAATGAGCGAGTTCAACTATATAGGAAATGTATGATTGCAATCAAAAATGGGACTTGGTTATTTAGGTTTTTATGCCTCGTGTAGAGTATCACAATTTGTTTCTTCTATGAAATCGTCATAAAACCAGTTACAAATTGCCAGGAAGATGGAACGATCATAACATCACAACCAAAGGTTCTGTTAGTCTTTATTATCAACTGTTGTTAAAGAGCAGAGCAACTGGCTGTTTGGGGAAGATTACCTTCTGCCCATCTTCAAATCCCTTTGGATAATTCACCTTTGGGGTCATCAACCAAGCCAAAAGATTGTTTAAGCATGCATTACAAGCCAACATAGGTTGGGTTAATATAACATGCTGAAATGAGGAATAAAAACTGGGAAAGGATCTATGTTACTGCCTCTTCATATCTGCCTCTAGGAGGCAGTGCTCATCTCTGTTGCTTAGCCAAGGGAACCAGCGTTATCCAGAAACATTTATGTGGTCATGTGACCAGCATGACTATAGATCAAGGCTCACAGAAAGCCGTTTCCTTCCCACTGAAGTGGTGCTTATCTAACTATTCACATTTGCTTGCTTTCGAACTGCTAGGTGGGACAGGAGCTGGGGCAAATAATGGGAACTCATCCCCATCATGGGGCATTTGGGTCTTGAACCTGGGATGTTTTCCAGCTGACAAGCTTAGTGTCTTTAACCACTGAACCACTGCACCTCCTTGGGATACAAATACGTATTTCCTAGGATAACATAAATACCATGCAAGTCAACAACAAAAAAACTAATTTCTTTAAGGAATTACTGAAATATAACAAGCATGCCTACACTAGATCTAAAGCATCTTTCCAATCACTTTGCTACTGAAAGCACATTCCTAAATTAAATTTAAAAAAAACAATAAGATGTGGACCCTAAATATAGCTTGCTAACAGTGAGCAGGAAAGGAGATTTTACAAATCATGAGACTCTTACAATAAATGAATTAGAATTAGAATTCTTTTATTGGCCAAGTGTGATTGGACACATAAGGAATTTGTCTTGGTGCAAATGCTCTCAGTATACATAAAAGAAAAGATACATTCGTCAAAAGTCAAGAATCACCCGGGTACAACACTTAATAATCATAGGGTACAATAAGCAATCAAATCATATTAATGTTAAATACTTTTTGTATTTTTTTTCTTACATCACTGAATTCTGGGTGAATGCAGTATGATATCTAATGCCATTCTTTATTTCTTTAATCTCCAACCCCAACTCCTAGGCCATTACCTCAGAAGCCACCAATCTTGTCAAGTAAGTATTCTAAAATTTGATTTAATTTTGGTGTCAACTTAGTTCATTTTGATCAGGGTAGAAACCTTGCTGGTAGTTAAAATTTTCCTTATTCAGTCCTTGTCACTAATCTAGAAGGAAATAACTTATCCTAAGCAAACATATTCAATAGAAAACAAATATTCTCTTTTTTAGGATCTCCAGAACCTGCAAGCCACCCTATAGGCACTCGAAATAATAGCTTTCAAGCGGAACAGGTATAACTGTGGTATAAGGTTTTTTAAAAGTATGGGAGAGGGGACTAGATGTCACCAAATTTTGATCAAAATTTAATGAGCTATCCTTTAGGTAATTCACAAGTTCTTCATAAGTAAATAAATGCTCATTTCAATATTTTTCTATCAAAAGAATGTTTATAAAAATCACATATTTACATTATGGATTTTGTGATTAAATCTGGCTAATTTAATATTTACATTTCTACACATCATTCATAAATTATTTACATCCGTGAAACACTTCCTGATTAATATACAATTTATGTAAAAAAATATTTTAAAAAGAGCATAGGAAATCTTTGGTTTTAGGGATACATAGATAGGAATGCCTCTCTTTTTCCTTTTTTTTTTTTAACAGGATGCTGGTGTTCTTGGTCAAGCATGGTACATGGCTTCTAGTGATCGGAAAATAGCTGAAGATGCATTACACAAATCAAACAAGGTAAAAAGTATTTCCTTGAAACTCACAGCTTCTAACAATTCTGCAGAAGCATAGGAGAGAATCTGAGACAAGAAGCATTATCAAACAGGCAGAAAGATACGCCTTCCATTTTCCTCATACGATATAATTTGAATAATGCTAGACCTTTATGCACTTGTTAATAGTGACAAGGAGTATTAATTATGGCAAAAATTCACTGAAATATTACTAGTATAAATGTGAGGGGACCAGAAAAGCATATTTGCATAAGATTCAGCTAAATATACAGAAGGAAAAAATGATAGACTAACGGAGGTGAGCTACTAAGTTAAATAGAAAATGGGAGTGCAATTAAATTGGTGGGCTGCTCAATAAAATATTTGGGACTACATATCCTTTAAGGAACAGGCAGATGTTCATTGTAAACTGGACTGTTTTAGTAATTATAAAGCTGGGGTCTACATAAATTATCCTAGCATCCAGGATGCTAGAACAGGGACACTGTAGAATATTTTAAATTTGGACTACTTACCTACTTAATATTAGATATTTCTTTATACCTAAGAGCTCCATTAAAAAATGAAACAAAGCAGTTTTGGAACATCTGCCTTACTCTGAAAACCGTTTCTTGATTTAAAGCTTTAATGTAAAGAATTGTTTAATCTCCCAGGTAGAAGTAAGCTTTGTAACAGTAGAAAAAGCAAAAGGAATATAGTTCACATTCCCAGAGAATTCTGTATGTACATCTAAAAATATACATGGTTCTTTTGTGGACACAGGCAGTAGTCCATGGGGTTGTAAAAGCCAAAGACTCCAGCCCAATGCTGGGGGGATTTTCTTATTATCGATTAAGATATCAGAAAGAAAAAAAGGATTAAGAAAATTGAACTAACTCTATTTCTTCTCATTATTCCTTGAAATTCATATTTTTCACTCTTTTTCTCCAGGATGGGTCTTTCTTAGTAAGGAAGAGTTCTGGACAAGATTCTAAGCAACCATATACACTGGTTGTATTTTATAACAAAAGGGTATATAACATCCCAATCCGATTTATTGAATCAGAAAGGCAATATGCTCTGGGTAGAGAAAAGACTGGTGAGGAGGTAGGTGATTTATTTTGGATTTTTAAATACCTGCATGGAAATTTGGTTTACACTGCTTAGAAATATGTTGATCTGTATGTTGACATGAACATAGCTTCTTGACAGGTAGAGATTTTAGCCAGCGTGTCTAATTAAAATGTGCATAGAGTTTACCATCCTCTTTAACTATGAACCTGTCTTCAGTTTTTTTAATTAAAGATTTCTTATTAGGATCTTTTAGTGGTAGATATTCTGAAAGAGAACAGAATTTAATCAGCACCAGACTACCTATATGAAGGGATATTATTCAACTCCAAAGGGGGAAGTTTCTGGTAGGGAAACAAATCATGACTTAATTTTTTAAAAAAACTACCTAAAACTTCAAATTATGGCTGCATGCTTTTAAACAGTGGGACCTTGTAACAAAATATAGTTGCCTTTTTCTATTTTGGACAACTGTTTTCTTATCAAGCTCTTACTGTAGCCTTTGCTAATCTGTAGTAATTTCCAAAATGTATTGGGAACCATAGCTTTCACAACTCCAGAATGCACTAAAGTTTTAACACCCCTGGGACAAAATTTTGGAAGAGTGCTTTCATCCAAAGGGATTAAAAATGGTACAGATCTTGCCTTTAAAACAATATACATTTACATAAATTCACCCACTGTTCTGTAAAGCCGTTTTTAAATAGTAATTGTTCATATTAATGTTGAGCATTAAGAGTTAATTCAAAAATTACAATTACTGTTAAGAAACTCTTAGCCTGCTTTTGCAATGAAATATTTACTTTGGATTAATCTGTATTTTCTTGCACTTAAAAGCCCCCCCCCACCGGCCCTGGAAATCAATGCAATTTCAGTAATTGCTAAATTTGGTTCTACTGAGTGCAGTAACTCTAGTCTTACACAAGACTATGAGTAGAGGACAAGAGAATATTAAAAAAAATCATATGAGAGAATTAAGTCGTATGCATATTTGAGCTTGTTGATTAGTACTTATGTACAGAAAAAGAAAATCCTACAGAACAGTTGAACATAGAGTTTACTTTCCCTATTATCTTCTGCCAGGGTTACCTGAAACAGTGCTACATGGTTTATATTGCCTTAGCACCTACATGTTCCACTATTCCACAAGAGGGGAGAAAACCTTACATGTCTCATTTAGAATTTGGTCTCAATTATGTTAAAGAGATATACTTAAGTTACTTTATGATGCTGACATTAAACCAGGGGTCACCAACCTTTTGGACCTCAGGGACCACCAAACTCATAATTTTAAATCCCAGGGACAGTTAACCGGTTCTGTGGGTGTGGCTTAATTTGTGGGCGTGGCTTGATGGGCATGTGACTGGCTGGGCATGGCTTGTATGTAAATATTATAAATATTTATATAAATATTGAATTTTTTATTAAAAAAGAGCAACTTTTACCCAAAATCAGGCAAAGCAGGATTGAGTTCCTCACAGAATCACAGATTCATTCAGAGATCTGCCATCGGCTAGCTCAGTCTGTCACATAAAATTTGCTTGCAAGCAAACTCACAAAATTAACTCACAATACACCATGTATGTAAATATTGAATTTTTTTATATGAAAAAGAACAACTTTTACCCAAAATCAGGCAAAGCAAGCAGGCAGGCAGATCGAGTTGCTCACAGAATCATTCAGTGATTTTATGTCTGTCACATAAAATTTGCTTGCCATGAGTCTGCACTGAATAATAGAACCTTCAGTCCTAAGGGAGGTTTGGCTATGCTTAAAAGCAGAGCGAAAGATCTAAAGATTAGCTAGAAAGCAAGAAATCCAACAATTTCCTGCTTCCTAGCTAATCTAAATCTCCCGGCACAGCAAAACAGATGATGCTCGGAAAAAGGAAAAATAGCAATTTAGCAGGCAAGTTTGCAGGGTAAGGGGTGAATGGGTGGGGAGGGTTCCTGCGGGCTATGTGGGTGGCGCAGCCTTGTGTTTCTGTGCAGCCTGGATTAATTGCTTTGGGGGGGAGGGTGCTCTGAGGGTGATATTTCTCTGCGGCCCACCAAAATTTTCTCACAACCCACTGATTGGCAACCGCTACATTAAACTATTTAACCATTCCATTTGAATGGTATGAAATGGTACGTGGATTCCTGCTTCAGCAGAGGGCTGGACTAGAAGACCTCCAAGATCCCTTCCAGCTGTGTTCTGTTCTGTTCTATTCTAATGGTAATGACAAAATAAAGCCGTATTTAGTACTAGGATTTTTTCTAAAAAAAAAAAAAATGAAGCCAGCCTTGAGAGTACTACTTGCAGTTTAGCTTACTCTACTCCTACTTTTCATTGGAAACAATTCACATACAAAAGTGCTAGAAATTATAGAAATTGGAACGTGTAAATGCTGACTTCTCAAACAGAATTGTTTTGTTTTAGAGCTATCGTAGTGGAAAAGAGCCTTTAAATTTAAATTATGATTGTTGACCCATTCAGCAGGATTTGTGTTGAATAAACTATTTTTGTTTTCCCAATCCAGCACTTTGACAGTGTGGCAGAAATAATAGAGAATCATCAGCGGACTTCTCTCGTTCTCATTGACAGTCAAAACAATACAAAAGACTCCACCAGGCTAAAATATATTGCTAGAGTTTTGTAACTGCACCAAGGAGCGTCATGGAGTATCTTCTAGCCCTCATTTTCCAAGGATTTGAGCATCTGAACAAATATGCACAACTATGGTTAGAAGTATTTTCTCCACGTTGTCCAGCAAGCACCATGCTATTACAAAGCTAGTGGATTTGTTTATGAAGTGCTGCTCCAGTCAAAGTGTCCAAAGCCCTTTTTTATATATATATAAGATATTACAAACTCTAAAGGCAAAAAAAAAATCTCAGTGGCAGACAAGATTTATTTAAAACTACCTGCTAGCGTTTACTTGTCCTGCAAAACTCTGTATTTTTCAAAGCTAGGGTGTCTGTATTCCAAAGAACTATTATGTAACCAGCTAAAAGCAGGATTTTTATTGCTCTGACAGCCATTTAAAATAATCAGGATGTTTGTTTAGTGTAATGGACTGGTACGTATTTTACCTGTATTTGTTGAAGCTATTATCAAATTTTGATTTAAGTGTACATATATAAAAATAATTATGTATAATTTATCAAGATGCAGTTACAGTATGATACTCTGGCCACATGAATGTACCAAACAAGTATTCAGTGTTTCTTTGGGAGGGGATGTGTGTGTTTCCACTAGACTCATCATGCAGTTGTGATCTGCATTCAACAAGGTGTTATTTTTGAAGCTTTTAAATACAAGAAATGGGAACCTGTATTTTATGACTCCTGGAAAATTTAAACTGGACAGTTAAGTTTAAAAACTTAGGTGTACATATCAGCTTGACTTCCCATTAATTTTGTAAGGGTACTTGCTGCATTCCAAATTCTACCATTTGATTTTGTAAAATTGATAAAAAAAGACTAAATGGTTCTCAGTCAAATAATAGTCTTCAATTTATGACTGCAATTGGGACCAGTAATTTCAGTCATTACATGACTAGATCTGATCTTATGACCCTAATCTTTAAGTAAATCAGTAATTAAGAAAATCTGGTTACCCCAATTTACTTAACTTGTCCAGGAAGTCACCGCAGAAGGTTGCAATCACAATCATGTGATCACAAGATGATGTAACTAACGCAAATCAGTTGCCAAGTGTCCAAATTAAAATCACATGACCATGGGAGGTGGTGCAAAGTTTGTAACTTCAAGGACGGTCATAAGTAACTTTTTCCAAGGCCATCATAATTTCAAACTAGTTAAATTATCGTAACTTGAGGACTACTTGCATTTTGTTTTGTTTTTAAATACTTATTTAATAACAGTAATAATACTGGCATACTAAGTGTAAACATAGAGTTTTACATTTTTGTTCCCAAATAAGCAATATACTCATGGGAAATCTACATCTAGTTTCACTAAGTTTTCATTATGTTTTATATGTTTTTCTTTCCAAACAATACATTAAAAAAATGTTGCATTTGGATTCTGATTTAACTGGAACACAGCAAAATGGTAAATAAACCCAGATTTCTTTTTATAAGATGGCAAAGACGGGTGTTTCTCCAATTAGTTTGATATGCTTCAATAATTTAGCGGTAAATTCAGCAGTAAAAGGAAACCAGGCAGCCATAGAACATAGTGGCTGGACACTATGAAAGCTGACACCGGCCAGAGGACAGAACAACTCAAAGGAGTGCAAAATCAGAAGAGGTGGAGAGACCTGGCACATAGAATTGCCAAGAGTTGGACATGACTGAATGGATATTGTTATCATCATCATTTCAACAATATCACACACTTAGCTCAGATGTCTGATTTTTGATACAGGTTTGCAGCGAACGTCCAAATATGCTTAAATTAACAACACATATTTATCCGGCACTCATTTCTGTCACCTTGTTTAAAGAATTAGTAAAGAAATGGGTTTGTTTCCTAGTTTCAGTACACATTTTTAGAGATTATTCCAGTGTAACACAACGTAATGTTAAAAAGGAATGCTACTTAATTGCATCAACACTTGGAAGAATCTTATTTTACCCAAAATATTTAGCAAAAATAAATTTTAATTTTGTGCCATATAATAGGATTAAAAATATCAGTATTACAAGAAAATAAGGGACAAAATTACTCTGATCTTACATATTCAAGCAATATGACATGCAGTAGCACTGTAGCAAAGGCCTAGGCCCCATATAAATGCTTAAGCCATGTTAGAAGCGTACATATGTGCATGTTTACATGCCTGGCAGACTTAGAAAATTTAATTTTGCAAACAAGTTGAAACTCGATCTAAATACATGGTTGAGCCCTCTGTGACTAATGTTTTCTTTTTACAAATAGAGAATATAAGTGAAATGTCTAGATATGCAGGTGTTAATTAATTATCTTGATACAATTGCTCCTATGTAAAATAATATTTAAGTTGCTTAGTACTGAGAAAGTCAGCTCAAGTAACAAAACAACCAAGACTTTTTACCAGCAAGTTAATTCCTTGACATTAATAGACACCTGTGCTTTATTCAAGGTTTAAATTATTCAATACAATTATAGAGTAATATATCTATATAACAAACTTATTAACAAGAAATATGTGCAGGGGAAATTTTAAAAGGTAATCCTGAATCGTAATTCATTTCAAAGCACATCACTTTAATATCAGTCAAATTATTCACTTTCTTAAGGGGGGTTAATATATTATTTCTATCAACATACAGGTTAACAGCACACAGCACCTGTTTGGACCTGAATTAAATCTCAAGTTTGTGGAAAATTTTAAGAAATATCTATTCCCTTATCCATCATTTTATGTGAGAAAGAAGGCACCATCTATGTTATTGTTCAGTGTATTCTTCTCACTTGAAAGCTGTGTGTATCTAATACAAAGTTGAAAACTTTTCATTTGGCAGATCTGCACTACAGCAAAGATATTTTTCTGTTATTCCTTAGTGAGAAGAAAGATGATCTGTTTCCAGATAAAAGTACCTTAACAGACCAGAATTATGCAATGGCATCCCACTCCACCCCCAACTGTAGGCTTTCAGAAAGCCAATAGATTGTGTATAAGTAAAGGGTCAGTAGAAATCATCTATGTGTACTTTCAGTATAAAGAGGGGGAAAACTGACAGACAAAATCTTCAATCAACCTGAGACAAATATTTTGTCTAAATAAGAAACGATGGTCCAAGCAAGATATTTTTCAATTAAATTCAAATATTCTTAACGTATGTTTATGAAACATCAATGTTTCAAATCCCAACTGATGGTGTTCCATTAAAAGGAACCCTTTCCAAAATGTAACAAAGAAAATTACATTCTGCTTTCTAGCATGACCATGATCACAATGATAAGACTGTCTTTTACATGCATTTGGTTGCAAAATTATGAAATCCAATTCTTAATAAAATTTAATACCAATGTTGTAGGGATGACAAATGTTCACTTGGAATTCAGTAGTACTGTTATACAAACAGGGAATACATTGTTTTCAACAGTTATCTTAATTAGGCATAAACACAGTAATAAGTTTATTGATTTGTATGAAAAAATACTTCACTAAGAAAGTAGACAAACTGCACAGAAATAGTACAAGTGTCATGTGCATAGCAATATAGCTTAAAGCATTCACATATGGCTTTGTTTTAAAAGAAACTGTTAGGAGACCTGGTCCTATACAGACCCATGGTTATACAGTTGACACAAAGTAAACTGCTTCACATCTTTTAGGCACTTGCTAACAACAGTGATCAATCCCTGGAAAAAAAATATTTAAAAGATCAAGGAAAAATACGGCAATAGCTGTGGATAGCTGAAAACCCTTTTAGTAGTGCATGCACAGAGCTGGAAAATACAATTCCTGTGCAAGATTTTGTAGCAAATAACCAAAGTACAAAAATATGTACATGCTTTCATGTTTAAATATATACAAGACAGAAAAGCCCTGAAATTCATTCTCCAATTACAAATATATGCCATGATAGTAATAACAAACACAAATTAAACTGCAATATCAACTATTAAAATTTATAGAGATTCATTTTAGGTGCTAACATGAAACTTGATTTTAAAAACAATGTGTTCCTGGGATGGTATCAGCCAAAATAATTGGCAGTAAAAGGAACATGATTTTATATTCTTCAATAAGTTATTCTAATGAATTCCAGTTTCGAGTGGCTTCCATTAGATGGCGTTGTCCATGCCCTACCCAATTGTCCTGATTGTCAAATATCCTCCCACAAAACCAGCAGCTAAATTTAGTTTTCAGCGTATTATCAGAGGTAGTTTTCACAATCTGATAATTATTTTTGCTAGTCTTCTTCAGTGTTAATTTTAAAACAAATCTTTCTTTTACAGGACTTACAGGTTTTAGCATTTTGTGTTTTCTTTGAGTCAGTTCATTAGTAATTAAGTACAAACTGTTGCTATAATATGCTGGCTCCAGAAGAGCATCTATTGTTCTCTTTGATAAAGAGACCTTTAGAACATGTCCTTTAAACTTTGCAATAGTTTTCATAACATTTACAACTTCAGGGACATCGGCATCAGGGTGGTTTAGCACAACAACAGGCTGATTTCTCCGGGGGCATTTGACAAGTTGCTTAGAATGAAAAGGAAATAAATTTAAAATCCTTATAGTATCTTTTGATGCTCTTGGTCTATAAGGGGTTTGAAACAAGGATTCATTCACATCTACTTGATTTTTTTCTTTGCACTTTCGATGCAATGTTTTCTTTCGAGGAGGTCCCTGAAAGTCATCGTTAGCTTTCCGTTTCAAATTCTTATTCTTCTGCGAAACTGTAGCATTAAAAACTTTAGCATCATTTTGCTTTGAATGACGCCTAACCTTTGACATTTGTCTTGACATATTCTCTGTGGTTTTTTGATTTTCAAAACTGCTTCCTTTGTTAGTTGTTTCTTTTTGAGGTGGGGGCTTTTGTGACCACGTCTTTCCATCTCTAGATGAATGTACAAGTTCTACAGAGGAGCAGGAATCTTTTGATTTCTCATTTGCTGAATAAGCATTTGCTGGCATCATATTACCTGATAAGGATAAGGCATTGCTAGAAGGGTGAGCTGTATTTTTCTGATTTAGTGCAGGAGTATTGCAACACTTCATATTGTTCAACTGCAAAGATGAGAAAATGTTGCTAACTGGTTGGCATTTGTCCGCAGCAGGAAAAGTCTTAATTTTCAAAAAAAGCTTTTGTTGCATTGCTCCATGTTTCTTTGGTTCAGAACTTTGACTATATGTAGGACCTTGAAAAATATTACAGTTTTGTACAAGAGATTTGTTCGATGACATACACTTAAGAAAAACCGCTTGTCTGCCATTGGGCAAAAGTGCATACACTGGTTGTTCCTGTCCAACCTCTGACTGTTTTGCAGACTTTGCACAAGCAGCCTTACTGCCTTGAAATCCAGCAAGTATTTTCATGGAAGAAAGTCTGCTCTCTGGATTTGTAATGTTCTGCTGATCATTTTGTGGAATGGCAATGGATGAAGCATCACTACAAGTATTAATACTAGAATTTCTTAGGCTTCTAGAATAATTTGTTTGTAGGTCCTTGTCTGAGGAGACTGTCTTCTTAGATACAATTTTCTCTAAACCCTGAGAATTATTTTCAGTGGCATTTACAGCTGTTCCAAGGGTCCCCCTTCCAAATGTCAAAATCATTCCAGGTCCTTTATTTAAAAGCAACGATGCAGTTCTGGTTGCCTGAGCATCTGATGAACTCACTTTTGGAGAAGGCCTTCCTGAAATAACTTGTAATCCTTGCTTGTGAGCAAGCTGCAGAGGTACAAAAAATCTTGGTGGAGTTGACTGTAGTACTGTTTTTTTCTGTTCAGGAAAAAATGGATAAATTTTACTAGGGCCATAGGTATTATAGCGCACCTTGTCTTTCGCCAACTGTTGTGTTATGATTGCATCTGTCTGAGTCTTAAACAGTGTACCAACACTGGTTTTCCCTGATGCTGAATTTATTGCTTCTGTTTTAAGAGGCAAAGGGATTTGTCCTCCATTCAGGTATATACTTTCATTTGTTGCAGTGTTGTTCATATTCAGTTCTCTCTTAAATTTATCAGA